GTCATGGTTAGCTATTGCGAAATGCCACAAAATGTAACTGAATTTAGCAAAAAGCAGCCAATCAACTTTCAATGGAATGATCTAGAATCGATTTCCATTTTTGGTAATATGCCTGACTGTACTATAATAAACTATCTAATCATTACACATAGATGCCCTACAATATTCCATATTCGGAGATGAATTATCGAAACTAATAAATAATTTTAAGATGGTTCGGAATAATCAAACATCAAAAAAAAAATTCAGGTTATAAATATAAGAATCTATTAAACTTTAATTTGCTAAATAGTAAAATTTATTTTTTTAACGAATGGCATTGTATCTACCGTTGAAGCTATAAAAAATGAGAATAGCAAAATAATTCCAATACCAAGGTATGGCAATTTAAAAAATCGATTGCGATATAATTTATCAAAAATTAATTTCCCGGCAACTTATTTTTCTGAAATGATATATTTTTTATTTTGTTTTTTTTTTAAAAAAATATTTTATATGAAATTACATACAGAAAAGAAAAACAAAAATTCTTATTCGATGCTAATACTATCCATTTTTGGAGTTTGTTCCAAAAAAAAATAAAAGAAGAATTTAAGGATAAATTGGATAGCATTAGCGAAATGTCAATAGAATTGATATCGACTAAATTCGACATTTCAATAAAAGGTAAAACTGACTTTAAAATGCTTTTTGCAACTATTTCTGAAAATCCAGATGGTCCAAAAAGTATTGCATTTAAGTTAAAATGCTGTAAGTTTTTTTTTTTATTTAGTTTAAGTTATTCAGCATGTTTAATAACTATATAATTACTATACATAGCTCAATTAGAATTTTTTTCTTACAAATGCTTATCCCAAATTGAGAGAGTATTTGGGATAAGCGTTGAAAGAATTATTGAACTTCTGCTATTAAGACTCTGTAAGTAATACATATATAAAATGTTATTTTTATTTATTATTTTTTTTTTTAATTTTTAATTATTTTTTATAGCTTCAACGGTAGATACAATGCCATTCGTTAAAAAAATAAATTTTACTATTTAGCAAATTAAAGTTT